CATATCCTGTTTAAAAACAAAATGTTTTATCTAGGCCTACTAGAAATATGAACTTAATTCACAAGCGAAATAAAATCATGGAAACTCAATTTTATGGTGACAAAGACGAAAATCAAATTTTGAAAGCTATTATTAAGAAGGTCTCTGTAACCTTTGTTCATTTTTGTCTACCCCCTGCCCTATCAACATGTAAACTTGGCGTCTAGCTGGCCAAGACCTGACACTGAATACCATGATTTCACTAATTATATGGAAATTACTTGAAACTGAAATGATCATGCAAAAGAAACTGGTACAATTTGCTGGTGTAAATATATTAATTTTCCCGAAATTTTATATAGAGTAAAAGTATTTTATCTGACTTCATGTCATAGTCAGTTTTTAATATATTAAGTACAGCAAGTTGAACATGATACTTTAAAATGGTATATAGTTTTGAACACAATACAACACTGTCTGTGCTACCAAAAATGTATTATTCCTTTTCTTCGTGTTGCCTGCATATCATGAAATGAGAGATAAAAGCTAGTGTAATTTAATTTTTACAAAATGAAACACGCTTGAGAAAATCAATGTTTCATACTGTAAGACCGATGAGAAATAAAGTACTATAAATCTAATTATTAGCACTGTATGGATTATATACAGTAATCTGATGCCCTGTAACAGCGACTAGCATCTTATCAACATTCTAATATCAATATTAGTGTAATAGAATAAACACATGATGTCCTTTTTGCATGATCAAAAACATATTTTAATTCCCATTAAAGGTTATGTGATTTTGGTAGCATTTTTGATGCAGTGTTTTTTAAGGCCTAAGGGACAGAAACAATTGAGGAAAAAATGTTAAACATGTTATATGTATATGTTAGATTGTATCATACATGGGCATTATTATAATCATGAAAATAGCCTTCAATTTAACACACCTGTGTTTGTGTATGTTGAATGTCAATTATCTTTAACTTGTTATATTTTATTTGTGCAACTTATGTCATATTTTATAATAACTATCTATTGAGACCTTTATCTTTAAAATATGAATGGCCAGAATATTTTAAACATATTATTGACTTTTTTTTATGAAAATCATATTGAAATAAATTATTAACATCTACTGTTTGGGACTTAGTGGAGAAAGAAAATGTTTAAATAATTTTGAGGAAAAATTTAGGGAATCATTTAAGCAACTAGTTAGGATAATAATGACTTATACCCTCACTAATGAAACAAATTTATCTAATATAAAATTAGCTGTGATGTCATAACTAGATATCCTATGGTGTGAACAGGATGAATAATCAGATAAACCCCAATATTGGCTTAATGCACCGTTAATCCGTGATAAAAATTCAACTTTGGAAGATAAGTTTGTTGAATGTGTGTGTAATTGTGTTGTCTTAGAATATTGAAGAAAGTGATTGAGATAATGAATGATAATACATACCTGTACCACTCTATTCCTTTCTCGTAGTGACGATCAAAGAAATGAGGCTCTGGGCCTGGTGCTCGAATATCAGGGTGGACTCGAAGGAACTCCAATAATGCCCTCGTGCCCCCTTTTTTAACACCAATTATGAGTGCAGTTGGTAATTTTTTCTGTCCCCCATGTTGATGAACTCTTACAATTCCTGAGTTTCTTGTACTTTTAATATGAGCAGTGTCTAATCTATCTGCTGTAAATTCTGAATCGTATTCGTGGTGAGAATTGTCACTTTCCGATTCTTCATCGTCAACAATGTAATTGTTAGAATACTCCTCTAGATCTTGAGGTTTACGATGTCGGACAATGACATTGTCACTATTATAATCATTTTTTGTCCGTAACTTGTCAATATTTTTTCTATAATTCATATGGGCACGAATGTTCCCTTGTGGTACATATTGTGCATCTTGTCTTGGTGAAGGGTCCATATAGTCAGCATAAGCTTCATCTTGATTGTTTATCATTACATTCACCCTCAGATTGGGGTTATCTTGCACCCCCCTTGCCCCATTGAGGGGACTGCCGAGCACACAGCAGGCAAAGCAAATAGTATATAAGGTAAAACACATCATTCCACAGACTAACATTATCAATAACAAAGTTTTACGTCGAAATCGACAAAAACGGTAGACATCCATTGATTGCTCCTCCTCGGGAAATTTTGTGTAAACTTGAGTCAGTTCGATTTTGTAATCCACCATTGGTTTCGCTTAGTTTAGACAGTCTAAGCAGGTATATATCCGTAACAGCCATTGAGTATCCTATCCCATTGGTCGTTGTACAGCCAAACGGCAGAAATAATCCAGAAAAGCGAGGAAATGTCAGAAAATCACGACAGAATATCTTCCATGTGTATTCATAACTACTACGAGTGAACTGATGAAGAATATTGTTGCTCGAATTGTATTGGATAAAAGTTTTAGTCACGTGACTTTCTTAATTGACTTTGGCGCGTTTCTATTGGCTGTTGACTTTATGTATATAGCAGCACGTGCCTTAACCGCTAGCTGCTCACTGACCACTACCACTAATTACCTAAATGAATACACAAAATAAGGCTATTCCAGCAACAGTTTTTACCTATTCAAAGGTAATTTTAGAAGTCCGTGATTTTTGATTATCTCTGAAATTATTTTTCTAAAATTGTTTTCAAGTGAGTGCAGTAGTATTTTATCATCAAACCAGTCCATGACCTCCATGAGTATCACATGGATGAATTTAAATCATTATTTTTTAAATACTGGGAGCCACTGGGAGTCAACCAGATGATATCATCATCATCATCATCATCATCATATTTAGGAGGGTGAGGTGTAATCCTGTGTTATCCTCCCTTCTGATCATTTGTTTGTTACATGACATATTTATTGACAGTTTTAATTTCTTTGGTATTTTATTTCCCAAAGACAGTTAATTGTGTTGATTATTTTTAAAAGTGACGGGTTGTATCAAATGTGAATCAAAACATGGACAGAATCTAGTGTAGTGTAAACTGGTCATCCTAGGTCTGTCTTCTACATGTCTGGGTGGTAGTGGGAGTCGACCTTTGCTTTAAAATCATCTAGCGTCAGGGCAGATACAGCATTTTCTGGGAGGTTGTTCCAGTCGTCTACTATGCGCTGACTGAAGGACCCTTGTCGTAGGGCCAGATTACATCGACCTTTAAAGAATTTCTGGCTGTGGCCTCTTGTGCTGGTGTGGCTTGGGGTAAAGAAGTGGGATGATTCTATCTTGTCTATGCCGTTCATATATAAACACGAATTTAAAACTTCTGAGAAAGAACAATAAGTTTAGAGTTAATTTGTTTGCTAAGTATGAAGAAACCGTTGTCAGAAATCATGGAGGTCTATGTATAATACAGGTGACAAGAAAAGATGAAATGAAATAAAACTTGTAGTCTGTTATTGGTGCATATGTTTACTACTGCCATCTTTATGGAAAAAAAACAAATCAAATAAATAGCGATACTATATGTTAAAGCAGCAGTGACATCTTTAAATCAGAAATGAACTATTTTACAAGGTGTGTCAAAAAGATACATTTCATCTTGTAATATAATTTATTAGATCTTATTCTGACTAAAAACTACAATAGCATCTTTTACATCGGTATGGCTTATAAAAAAAAACCTGTTAAAACAGCAGGAAAAAGCGCTCATTTTCATTAGGATACAACATGTCAAAAAGAATCAATTTCCTGTTTTGAATTTTCACAAACTCTCCCCATAATTAATTGACATTGCAGTTCCTGTTTTGAACTTTCACAAACACTCCCCATGATTAATTAACGTTGCAATCAATTGTATATCTAATTATTGGGGTGAACAATTCAAAACAAAGCCAACTTGTTGAAATTCTGTCTCTTTTCTTAGAAGACACTCAGGTCACACTGAAGGAGACTAGTTCAGAATGATGGGTTTTGAAACAAAAGGGATGATTGCCCCTTCAGTACAAGAGCCTATTAACTTAATCATAATTTTATTTTTCTAGGATAGTGAATGTATATAAATAATACACCTGCTGGAAGATACTGACATAATAATACAATACTGTCTGGTAATTCACATAACTACTTTTTTCTTCTTTTCACAACCTTTATTTTACTAAACAGGACGTTTCGGATCCTGTCAATAAGAGACTTGAAAGACGGATTAAAGAATCTATTTATATTAAGAAGAACGATAATAATATGAATAGGGATCAAGGGAACTATAAATTGGCTGGAATTTGGAATGAATTTTTGGTGAATTAATATGACGTAATATTGTTTTTATTTAATTGTTTTGTAGCGCTTCACTTCAGTTTTTAAAACAGTTGAAAAAGGATCCAGACAGGATCCGAAAAGTCCTGTTTAGTAAAATAAAGGTTGTGAAAAGAAAAAAATAGTTTTGTGATTTAATAATCCAACCTGAAGAATATGTTTAAGAATGTCTGGGAATTGTTTTAATTTTCGGTTGGGGGTCTTTCCATGTTGCCATTTGAGACCTATTCACTAACTAGCATTTGCTTATTTATAACGCTTCCCCCTGAATGATCCGACTTACATAAGATTGTGTTATTAAAAACATATATTTTATTCATTAAAAAAATCTTCTACAAACAATACTACTGAAATTGTAGTACATTGTAAGATTCACAGTAGACTTCAGGCATTAACTTGAACAATCTGGTAATATCTCAATTATATACTGTACTTCTACTTAATTTGGCGGCCTTTTTGATTTGGTGTATCTGCCAAATTGTAAAAGTCTGCCAAATTGAGTAGCCACCAAATTCAATATTTCGAATTTCAATCATAAATTTGTATGGTATATACATTTCAATACTACAAGTCCGCCAAACTAAGTAGAAGTACAGTATTGACAAGAAACGCAGCCTCTTATAAGCTTTTCTGTCTCTTTCCTGTTATTACATAATGAACATTGTGAACAGGACAAGGTCTGCTAATACAGGAGCCGTGTATCTTGTGTTGGACTCTACCTCCATGTTGTTATATACGTATGACTCAGGCCCAGTTAGTCGATAACTGACACAATGTGGCCCATATAAGATTTAACTCAGATATAGCATTGCGTCAACCTCCATGTAATAAAACTCAGTCAGTCCATAACAGACACAACTCTCGAATCTCCAAACATTATAACATAATATATAGCTCAGAAGTGTATATATTACAGGAATTGCAACACATTTGGTTCAGGTACACCATTGCTTTACATGTACATTGTATTAGCCTCTTTTTCCATATTATTATATCACATTGAGCCAAGTGCAGATACTACGTTGGCTGGGCTACTCCTGTTCCAGTCATATGTAGAAAAGCTAAACTGCCACGTGGGCATTTATTGGCATAATGTCCCTTTTCACCACACTGAAAATAAACATAAAACATTAATACATTGTATGTATTAGGTGAGAGAAGTCAAAGGTCTTATTTCGTTGGTTACCTTTTACAGTTTAAAACATAGTGGCCTTATTAAGGTTATCATTAGATCCAATGAAATGTTCATAGTGGCCTTAACAGTTTTTCATTAGATCCAATGAAATGTTCAAGGGTAAAGCTCTATATCAATACTAAAAGAATCATCACATTTACCAAATTCAAATATCCTAGTGAGCTTTGATACAGTATATAGAACTATTAATCCATCCCAGTGTTCATCACCAAAACAGTACTTTGTTAATAGTGCTGACCAAGTACAGTGCACTAAATATTTTTTGAAGGAGCTTGATACACAAATCAGTACATTGATTGTTTTTTAAGATTGGGAATGAACAATATTTTTGCATATCAATGTTTACATGCTTGATTTACTTACTTTAAAACAGGTAACTTCATCTAAATTTCTTTTGATAAACTCTCGTTTTCCAGGAGGCATCCCACCACCTGGTGTAAATGTGGAATTCTGCAATAAAATACAAACATATTATATGTGAACGTAAACCAAGAAGAACACCCTTGGTACCACTAAAAATGTTCCACAACTGAGATGTTCCACTAAAGACAGCTTTTACTGTTAATAGTATACTAATAATGGAAAGAGTAAAGATGAACTATTTTATCAATTCATGATTTTTCAATATCACTATCTGAGCTAAAAATTGCTAGTCAGGGATGGCAATGCAAGTCGCCATTAACGTAACTGATATTGCCAAATTGTTTTAAAATCTGTCATTTCAAATATAATAGTTGGCACTATCAAGAAATCTTGATCACTTCATATGCAACGATTTTTCTTATATTATACTCTTTATTGGACAATTATATCAGATTATGCTGAGTGTTTGTTAAGTGATAATGTGAAGTAAATTTCTACATACAATGCACAGGCACAAACACGGAAAATGTCACCACCTGCCATTTGTTACAGATACTGAACACCAAACACCAACTGCTGCCATAAACTAGACCATTACAATACAAGAATTTATTTCTATTCTATAACTTACATGATCTGGTGTGTTGTTATGAGTTGGCATGCCAGGAATCTTTGTTGATATTGCACCGGCCTAAAAACAGAACATTTAATACATTAGGATTAAGATTAACAATGTCTTCATACAAATATCACCCACAATGGATTGTTAAAGCAAACATTTTATTAATTATAATACAGACATAGACATATTCCTAATCTGCAATGGGGACGTGTCATTGTTTTAAATTTGATTGCTTTATTTTATTAAATAAGTTTCCTTTTGTATTTTTCCAGTGAATATTTTGTTGCCATGAATTATCTTGTAATATTGTATTAAAAAATACCATTATTTTACTTACTGCACGTTTATCTGGTGCTGGGCAGTGTATGGCTTTATGTCCACTCACTCCACAATTATGGCACACCACTGCAGCCAGTTTGTTTTTATCATTGGTTATATCAGCCATTGGGATGTCAAAGCTAGCACTATAAACCAAAATTTAATACAATAAATAATAAAGGTTTTAAAGTACATGTACGACATATTTGTCATTGTTGCATGTGGCATTAGATAAACTAATTGTTAATAACATAAGCTTTTGAATGTTTCAACAATGTTTCATAACATTCAAAAAATTGCAGCATTGATAATCCTGTGTGATGCATGAATCTTAAGATTACTTCAGATAATGGTTGTCTTCAGAATTTACTTTAAATATTTTTGCCATTTTGGGTAAATATATTTTGTTCTCAACAAGAAAGTTATAACGTTCAATGTACTTACTGAGCAAATTTACAATTACTTCCCTCCAGACAAAAGCCGCAGAGGTAGGCTTCACATAATATTCGTCTCACATGGCGATTTTTACATTTTGGGCCTAAAACAGAAAATAGTTATGGATTACCTCCTGTTAGGAATGAACCTCAATATTCATCTTTTATTTGAATTTGACATTTACTAATTCGGTTTTGTTCACCTGACGACTATCTAATCGATACCTGTTTTAGTATTACAGAAATAAAGAACAAAAAATTTAATTTCTACTGAATTCACAACATTAACAGTGGTTGCCAAATTAAGAACAAATACAACTAGGACAAAATATATCCGAGTGTCTGCCTTACCGTGTCTACAGAAACCTCTGTCATACCAAGGACAATCTTTCTTCTTGGCATCTGGGTCTATATGAAGGAATGGACACTCCTTGTTACTGCAGGAACCTGTATAACACAGCAACGACAGAATCATTTAGCAGAGAGTATCAAAGATACTATATTGGATAATATTGGTGCAGAGATTTGAATGGCTCATCAAGATTCATTCAATTCAACTTTTTTGTTTTGAATTGATTGAACTTTCTCATGTGACATCTGTCTGGATTTACATTATAGTCTAAGACTTTATTTTGGCTTACCATATTTTGAAAAGAAGAAACACTCAGGCATTTTAGACATATCATACTCGTGTAGAAATTCACAATCATCTCCCTTCTTACAGAGGCCCCTCAACCAATGTTTGCAGACAATGGCACGGTCTCCTGATACGTGTCTGAAAGGGCAGGCTGCAGCCTTGTTACACATGCTTCTGATGTGGAAATCACATATGGCCATACCAGCCTCTGAAACAAAGACAACAATATTATAGTGTAGAAAATGCTAAAGAGCTAATTAGAGCAATTCATTTATGTAACATACCACTGTACAAATACAGCTAGTAACAGTGAAACAGTAAAAGGCACACTATTTTCAAAATATTAATGAAGGTCCATTCAAAGTCGATGTTTGAACCTTTAAAAGCCATGTTTAGACTGAGAATCGTAAAAGTTCTAAGGAGTTTTATTTTGAGATTTTTCTCGGTAGACCGATGGTAAACTTCCAGTCCACCAGACATGTGATTGTTAGATTACAAAATAGGTAGGGTAAATAATATGTCAAAGTTGTTTGATCTCATCCCATTAGTAATATTTTTTCATTTTTAATGTGCAAATGTCGAGACTGTTGGAATTGTTACTCTAATGTTGCCATGGTTGAAAGGATATGTCAGTCCATGGATTCATTGTGCAATAGATGCAAAATATTGGCAGTAAATCGCAGTGCGGGAAAAAAACGAAGGATGAATTATTCTAGGAGTTGCAAAAGAAAGCGATATATTGACCACCAATGTTGACATGTTCAATTGTACACCATAAGGTTAAGTTAAGCACAGAGGCTGTTATGACCCAGAACACCTGTATTTCATTGAATGCATCTTCATTTTAGAGTATGAATGATACATTTCTCAAGAATTTGAGTTCAAATTTCAATTACTGAGTTACCTCAGTTAAGTTGAGTTACCGCATTCTCCATCAATTGGAGTGAATGAGTGAGCTAAGGAGTAAATAAAATCGCTTGAGCAAATATATAAAATAATCAGATTGGTTTAAATCCTGAATGCGCACAACCTGTCAACCCCGCTGGGATCACACGCTACCGAGTAAAATTACACCTACCTCTCTCTGGATCAAAAATGGAAGTCTGCATACAGTATTTCCAGATGAAAATACTGGACGCGCTTCTATCCCCTGTTCAACAGGAACAAGAAAAACGAAGGCAATGAGTGACATGTGCACAATTCAGGGGACGAACTGGTTAATTTTTTCAGAATTCGTTTTTCAGCGTTGGTTTTTTTGATGTTCTTCTGAGATATTTTTGCTTGACAATAATCAGAAAAAATGCCTATTTGAGTGACATGTTCTGTCACGCAAATAAACGGGAGTGACTTCAATATCCTCAGCAAATTCGTGATAAATAGGCAAATTGAGGGACAGTTGGATGCAGAGGAAGTTGTATCAAGTCATTTTTGGGCCAAAAAGAGCTTTTTGTCCTTCCTCCACTCTGAGAACAGATGAATTCCCCTTGAGGGATACATCTGTTCCGAGAGTGGGGAAGGGCAAAAGGCTACGTTAAGGCCCAAAAAGGACTTAATACAACTTCCTGGTGTAAGACGGCCTGCATCTGTTAGATTCTGCATCTGTTAGATTAGGGAATGATTTTTTCGATTTATTTTTTGGGAACATTTGAACTTACTGTCCATTCCAGGAAACGGTAGAGGTTGAACACCGAGTTGCTGTTCCAAAGCAATCTCGATATCAAACTTAATGTTTCCGACATCAGCAACAATCGCCTGCATCTTTGATTTGGTTGTAAATCGAGCAAATGTACTCAAAAAATTGAATCCACGTTCTGAAATTAAAAATGGCGGCTTCACTAAATTTCAAACTCACAAAATATTTTGAAAAACGAAATCAATCTGACTAAAAGAATTCACATATGGCAAATATGTTCAAACACCACAAATGATTCAATTCATCATATTCAATTAGCCCTAAGAAAATAAATTTTCATTTACTGTGTACATTAGTACTATGTGGGGGGGGTTGGAGTCGGAGATCATATGCCCCATGCAGGAACCAAACCCAGGACCCCGGGCCCAGGACCTTGGACTCACAAGACTGATTCTCCACAGCTTTATAGCTAAAGGGGCTAGCCACTACAGCCAAGAATGTAGTGGCGACTTGCTTTCAAGGGTCATTACGGTATGAAACCAATCCACTCAATCCTGAACACACCTAAAGCCAGACAGGTGTGTTCAGGATCGAGTGGATTAATGGTTTCATCAAAAAGGTATACTGGACCAGGAATCTACAAAATATGGGATTTTTCCCATGATCTTATGTTTATGGTAGTCATTTTAAAAGAATTAAATAACCACAATGTATACATTTATTTTCATTTGGTGAAATTAGTACTTACACTAAAGAAATGAACAGAACATATGCAACGTGGCTAATAATTGAAAGTTAAACGAGACTTATTTATAAGTTGAAGTTTGACTGGAATTCTACCGAGTTACACTGCATCAAGAGATTACGTGAGATGGTATTGCGCATGTGCGGACATCTAGATCTTCAGTACTTTAACAACCAAAGTGGTCAGATGATCAACTCAAAACTTAATGATTATATTAAATATAATAATCTAAGTTAATAAATGAAGAGGTTAACCTGACATAAAACTTAAATGGTTATCAAAGTCTGAACCCAAACTTGATCCAGAAACTAAGTTTTCTGAGGGGTGGGTTTCAAAGCCAGGGCGGGCACGTAATCTCTTGATGCAGTGTAACTCGGTAGAATTCCAGTCAAACTTCAACTTATAAATAAGTCTCGTTTAACTTTCAATTCTACCTCGTTACAGCATCAAGTATCACGTGAGATTTTAAAGCCATCTCATGTATTAAATGTACGTTCAGAATGTTCAACCTTGGTTGAATTCAGTAAAATCCGTCATTAAAACCTTTACTTAAAAATATGCAATATAGGCATATCATATGCATTTTTTATGTATTTGACAAGATATTGGGGCCTATTTAATTATATTACAGGAAAACCCCATTTAGAAAGCAGTGAATGTTAATAGAAATTGCGACAAGTTCGCGACAATATAACCGCTCTTCAAACACGAAGGGCGGAACAGTAAACTTAAAATGAAAAAATTTGAATGATTTTTATAATATAATAATAAACTACGTCAAGTAAGTAGCGGCTACGATAGGGTGAGATGTCACTTGAACTGAATCGAGTAGGTGCCCTGCCAGACCCGTAGTCAGCTTTGGCTCAAATGCCTTGGCAAGGCGAGGGGTCAATTTTTAAGATTCCTGACGTACTTGAAGATGGCTGAGAATCTCAATGTCTAGATCTACTCTGAGTGTTTTCAACTGCGTAACAGGTGAAGCTAAGGTAAGTGTATTGCATAACCCTCAACAGGCCCGGTCCGTAGCCACTAGTACTATCCGGCCAAGGGGGGGGGGTCCTGGGGGGGGGTTTACTTTTCAAAAAATCTAGGGGGTTACATATTTTACTATTTTTGTCCAAAATCACTTGGAAAGTCCCCTGAATTGAAAAATAATAGAAAAATTTTGGCTGGGCCGAGGTTGCTCGAACTTGGACCCCATCACCCAGCCAGGTGGCTACGGGCCTGACCCTGGGGGTACACAGCATGTAATGGCTGACAAGTATCTTGGCTGCACTTAAAAGTGTTCATTGCTATACCAACTTTAAAATGATTCAGTATTTTCTTTTGGGGGTTCACTGTGCAATATACCTTTTTTGAGGGTTACGAAAAAGACCGAAACCACCGACCACCGACCGGTCGGTGTTTTCCACTGGTAGCCTCAAAACAGGGTTTGGAGAAAATGTGTAAAAGACCGACCATATCATGTAAAAGACCGAACATATTTGTAGCCTTAAAATATTAATAATTTGATTTTGAATGTCAATCGTTGGACTAGGCAACGTTTTACCGATTTTGTACCTTGCAACGAATGGCAAGCAAACAAATTGGGCATGACCGTCTCCTCTCGATTAATTGTCCTGCCTTAGGTCCTAATCTATCATTAACCAACCTATCGTTTCTTTTTAATGAAATTTAACAATTTCGAAACAAAAATGATTTGTTATCGTCATAGCCTACTGAATACTGAACACGATATAATGTTACATGCGTTCTCTTATCGGGATTAAAAGTGATTTCAGTACACCATTAGAAAGCTTTTTTTGTCATATCAAATGTAGTTTTTACCAGTTGACGTTTAACAACTGAGAAATCAAACATAACGTTACAACGTCAACATCGACAATGTTTGTGTGTTTTTGTTATTGCGTTTCATATGAATGAACTTAATGCAATGTTACGTGCGTTTTTTTCCAAAGTGACTAACCAGGATGAAATTGGTCTTCTAACAACTGAAACATCACTTAAAAATATGTCATTTCACACCACGACGATGTAACGTTTTCATCGTGATTTGAAATGATTAATTATACGTTTTTAAATCACGACCTAGTAAAGGTACTATAGTCATTGCATTCCCAGTTTTAGTTTTACTTCTAATTTTGCATTTCTTCATCTTTGTGTAAAAGACCATCAGCCGACCACCGACCTCATGTACCCAACTGTGGAGAGTGACTGGTCGGTGGTCAGCGGTCGGTGTTTTTCATAAACCCCTTTTTTGACATTACAACTTTTGATGTATGGCAATCGCACCCAGGGGCAATTGTCTGATGGTTGTTATTTTGGTGGTTTAGGAACACATTGAAGTTTGACAGGCTGGTATCCAAACATATTGATATCTAATGGTTTAGCCTAGGACCCCCCCCCCACCGCCAAATTTTGTAAACATTAAACATTGTATGCCATAAACCCTCAGGCATATTATATGGCCATTTATTCCATACCAGTTGCAAAATTAGCCATACCAAACAGGCCCGTAGCCAGGATTTGCCAAGGGGGGTTCAATTTTCAAAAATTTCCAGGGGGGGTTCACATTTGACAATTTTGGCCCAAATTAGGCTAAAATCACTAGAGAAGTGCTCAAAATGGTCAAAAACTGCATGATTTTGAAAGAATTTTTGGCCTGCGAACCCCCCCTGGCTACGGGCCTGCCAAAAGTCCAATTTGTTAACCCTCAGATAAAGTGCATGTTCATTTGGGGGGTTTAAGGCAATGTGATGTAATTGCCTCACCAACAATGTACAATTAAAAATTTAATCATCATTTTTTTCAACTGAAACAGTGAAAATATTGTCTTAAGTTGTCTTAATAGTGTCACTTCGAATCGCTTTAATATAAATTTGCCTCACAAATAAAATTGGCCAATTTTTGATCCTTTTGGTTGTTGTTTTCTTTTTTTTCAAAATGTTTGTTTTGGGATCATACTTAATAAAAATATAGGTGTGATAATCCCCAGGGAGCATCTATGAATGTACTGATATAATGTACAGTGTAGTAAACACTGAACTGTACAGTATCAATTACACTCTTTGTTTACAAGTCTGTCATGCAATCTGGTTATTTGGGTGATTTAGCTGATTGATGACACACCTCACAGTCACTCTATTAGTTTCTGATGACCTTGGGCTAGTTGTAACTCCTATCTGAATAAAGTAAAAATTCCAGCATGAAACCAAAATACACTGGTGAATATATTTCAGATACCAGAAAAAGGAGAAGATGGAAAAAAGCTAAATTGAATCAGCTTAGAAGAGAGGTGAGTTTGATAAAAGTTATAATTATTTAATTAAACTACTCATTTAAATAATTTAAAGATTTATTCTCAATGGTTGTGTTGCTTAATATGGGATATTGAATATGAGGGGTAAGAAAAATGGAAATTATTTAATATGAAATGATAAAGGAATATCGATTGAACAGTGAAACATGTGTACATTGAACACATATTGAACCACAAAAATGTGTTCACTGGAGGTAGGTGTTCACTAGAGAGGGTAAGTTATACAGAAGTTGTAGAGACCTAGTAAAGTATATGCAGAGAAAGAGTGTCATCTAGAAACAAGTGTTCACTAGATGTATGTGTTTATTAAGACACGTTTTACTGTACATGATGCCCTTAAATCTGTTGAATTCAGAAACATGAGGATCCACAAAATCCCTATTTGTACTTTTTCAAAATTAGCAATAAGCTTATACTTTTTTTTGCATTGACATATTGCAACCTACGACCAATGACATCATCAAATTAGTCAATGTATTATTGTTTCTCTGATGGATCACAAGATGGCACGAAACGACTATCGCAATTTGTAGATCCTTAGAAGTGTAATAAAACTGATTTGGACTGATTTCTGAAAACTAATTTCTTCTCTGATATTGTCTGTGACACAATTTGAATGAAATATGAAATGTCCTTATATTGTTTTAGATTAAAGAACTTGGAGAGAGGGCTGGCATTCCATTTGTTGTAGCTTATTATGACAATGGGTCTGTGAATACAATAAGTGAGTGCTTGTTTTTTTACATGGATGGTCCTGAATAAAATGGTTTAATAAATGTACTTGCTAGATTTATTTTAATTTTAGAAGTTCGATTTCACTGGTACATAATTATCCAAACGAACAAAGTTCTGAAGGAATATTGTGAAGCGTTCCGTCTGTCAGGCAGTCTGTTCAGAGCATGACTCAAACATCAGTAGATGTATTTTTTTTTGGGCTGAAAAATTAATTATGTTTAGTTGTAAAAACGCAAAACTTTTCAAAATATGCACCATAAATAACCAAAGTAATAAGTATCGATCACTCAGTATTTTTGTTTGAAATTTTCGTATTGTATTCAAACATACATTTTATTTTAGAGACCATTTCAATTAGGGCATCTTATTCTTGCCTCACAAAAATTAAGAATGACTACCTATGTTGGAATTCACCATGATTTAAAGAATAGAGATCTGTCCAAAATAAGGTTACCTTAGTCTAGATTGATCACAAATATTGTATTGTCAATTTATAATTCATGGCTTTTACACTCTTGGTGTAAATTTTGACATGTACAGTCCAATGAATATTTTGGTAATTGGGATTTGTGACTCCATGGATAGGTCCATCTCCATTTTTTATCACATATTGACATCAGTCTTTTATATTGTATAGGTAGCACACCAGCCTTAGCAAGCTTGGGGGAAAATCCTGATGTACGTGAGGCCTTAACTGTTTCACATGTTAAAGATAATGCCTCAAGTGGCAGTGGAAATGAGAAAACCTCATTAACAGATGAAGATATAAGAGGTAAGTTCAATATCATTCATTGACAAAAGATGACGCTGTATCTCTCAATCCAAATGTATTTTCTCTCAATTAATCATCATCATCATAATACACGATTCAATCATTTACTGATTACTTAATGCATTGTTATCTTTATGTTTTGTAATATACAGTATATCTTTATTGGTGATGTGTGAACATACAAGGACATCAAATTAAAATGCATGAATTTTTAATGCTTTAAATTGAATTTAGTTTATTAAATTGCATATGTGGTGTTCATTTTGTGTTCAAATTGTGGATACAAGTATAGTAAATAACATTTTCACACATAGCTATGCAAGGTGTATCCAATACCAGCCAATCCAAACACAGTATTTCACATGACAGCAGTGCATGAAATAATAAATAAGCACTCATGACATGTTAATTATGGTTACAAATTGTCCTACGTGTTCCAATTTGTAATGTTTTGTGTTACCATGGCAACAAATTAGAGACAACATATTTTACATGTTTTTAATTTGTTGTTGAATGATTAGAAATTTTTATAGTCTTGCTTAAGGTCCTGAACCCCTCCCACGTGAATGTGAAGTAGAAATGGGGGGGGGGGGCTTCATAGTATTGCAGCAAGACTAAAATATTTGATATTCAACAATTATTTGTATAACATTCATGTGATATTATATATCACTAGTTAATATGATATATTTATTTATGTTTTGCAATAGAATATATTGCTGACCTTGAGGAAAACTTGGAAGTGGACCCAAGCAAGAGGTACAGTGATCACCTTAGGGTTATGATTACCGAAGTGGTCAAGCATACTAACAGTGAGTTTATTAGAAGAAACATGACAATGTCATGTTTATTACCTACTATTAAAGTGAGCATTAAGGAATAATGATATTATTGCTATCATCATTGCTAACTGTATTTGTTGCAAAAAACCAAAAATAGTATGAAATACCACTATACAGTATCTTAGCTTATTAGGGAAATAACCATCTGCACCATAGTTGAAGAATTGTTTGATTTTTCAAGAAGTTAAATTTAATAAAATCATGGGTATGATTTCAGAGCCAGCTTCTCGTAAACAAACATGGTTGAAGAAGCCATTCTGGTGGCCCACTGACATTCCATTTTGCAGTGTTAATGGTTGTAGTAAGTTAACATTAGTATATGTTTAGTATCTGTAGCATTAGTATCTAATCATATACACTGTACTGGAAGAAAATAAACACCAGAACCCCCCCCCACCCCTGTTTAGGGCAAAACCTAGCTTAAAGAATTTAATTCTGATATTTAATATCACAAAATTACATCATATCATGACATTTTCCTTTGCATTTATGCATAGGGGAAAATCTCTAATTTAAGAGGCATTTGGGAAGAATACCAAGACTGAGGAAAAAATATTCTATAATTACCTATCTAAGAAACTCAAACAATAATCTTTTGGGGGAAATACATTATTGAAGGTTGCACTTCATAAATTTAACCCCCATTGCCATGCTTAAAAGATTTCCAGCATATTACATTATTCACATATTCTGCTTGTATGTTATTTGCAGAAGCGGCAAATGTCACATTTCCAGATGGTCATGTAGGGACAAAGGCCACCACATTTCACCATTCGCAGGAAGAACTGCAACAACTATACAAGGCCTCTAAAAGAGTTTTTAAGGAGGTGTGTAAATATATATATTAAGCAATCATCTTTTTATTATGAGATTGTATTTTCACATATGACTAATAAAGATACAGCTATCTTTACCCCATGCAAGATAATGCCATCTTTCTTGTACTTGTATATGCGCAATACCATCCATCGCTTAGATAATGTTTCTTTGTCTCATCTGCAACTCGATAAAGAAGAATTATCAAAACTCATCAAGAATGGACGATCTTGCACAGGTACTCGTACAAGAACCTCTATGTATTATATATGTATTGCCTTATTATATAAAAGAATACATTATTATGTTTTATCATTTTTAAGCTTGGTGTGGATATCTTTTTCTTGACTATTGACCTATTAACATGTTCATATCAACTTGTTCATATATGGTCATATAAACTTAATAATCATGTCTATTTTCAGGAAGATGATTCTACAAATAAAACTTCATCAACCATCTCTTCGCCAGAGGAACAAGGGTCACCTTGCCATGTATCTCCTGAAGTGAGTACCTAATTGAAACATGCTAATGAATGGTGTTGCAGAGAGTTTATCTAATATTGTCTAATGTGAGCTTATTTAAATGTCTGACTGTCTGTCTGTCCATTTGTCCATTTGTCCGTTCGTCCGTCTGTCTGTCCGTCCGTCCGTCCGTCTGTGTGTTTGTCTGTCTGGAAACACATAGATGGCTTGTTAAGATTATATATGTAGTTAAGTTTAAAGGTTAACAATAAAGTGTAAACTTTTAGGCAAAATATGCTGAAACACTACAGAATGCTTGCAAATGCTGAAATAGTATTGTGTGAATTTACTTCATTGTATAGGTAACTTAGTTCATAAATTAGTTTACAAGTTTAGCAAAAATATCTTTCAAAAATTCAAAATGGCCTCCACTATAATTGTTGAGCACCAGTACACATAGCACTATTTTACAGGACTAAATTGTATTGTTGAATTGAATTTTAGGAAGTTGAAGATTCTACAAAAGAAAATGGACGAGGGTCAAATGCTGAAGTATCCCCTAAAGTGAGTGCCATATGTAACACAATAAGTAAAATAATCTAGCTATTATTATTGTTAGCTATTATTCTATATGATTTCTACTGAAGCTAATATAAAAGATATTAAAGTCTCTTCTGATTCCAACATATATATATAGGGTGTCAATTAAGTCCCTCCCTCCTCTACAGGCAAAGCCAAGATACATGGTACCAAGTATTTGACACCCTGTAATTCTAATAGATGATCAATGAAACCTTACTTTAAAATACTGTATAAAAGTTATACATGTAGAGATATATATGATGGGCATATGTACAGTAAGGTCTATATCATTGTCTTATTGTTATATCTATATTGTGCCAGAAATTGATATTCAAGCAAATTGTAAATAGCCACTTATAGATTGTAGAATAAGATTTTGTTTCACATACTTTTCTTATTAGATTTCAAAATTATTTCTTGTTTTGGGAAAACCTTCCCATGAGAGTCAAGTACCCATGGTACTATTTTGGCACTTATTCTTCTCCCTTTTAAGTGCCTTTCAGGTATGGATTTATTTATTCTATATTGAAAATTTTTTATCTTCTTTATTTATTTACTTATTACTTATATTCTAGGTACAGAGAAAGGTACTTGTTCATTTAGAACCTGGGGTAGATCTGTACCAAACAGATCTGGATAGTGTACTGCCAGGCGAGACTGCAACCTCTAATATAATGGATTTTCATATTAGGTATTCCTAATTACCTTTATCCTAATTATTTCATTAAACATTTTCAAGCTATGTTTTTCTTTCTCTAATAATAAAAAGTCCTTCATCATACTGTAGATACACTTAATTTGACGCTACTTAATTTGGCAGATTTGCTCAATTTCACATATTGGCGGCTATTTAATTTGGCGGATTCAGGACTATGTTTAAGTTTTATCATTGATCTGGGAAATAAACATTTCAGATTCATGTGTATAACTTACAGTAAGTCTTGGTATAGCAATGAAATCCAAATAGGAAGGCTTACACAAGTGGAATCTTAGTTAAGTTTCAGTGATTTTGAGATTTTCCAAAATACACCTGAAAATTGGCGGATTTTTAATTTGGCGGATTTTTCAATCCGCCAATCCGTCAAATTAAAGCGGTAGCCAAATTAAGTGTATCTACAGTACTAAATGGATTAAATCAATGTTAAGTTCATAAGCAACATGAGACACTGTAGATGTATAATGATTTTCTAAAGATTTGAAAAATTAGGACTAGTAAAAACATATTTCACAAACATTTAAGTGATGTACATGTACAAAAGGGCATATATCCTGACTCATCATTAATACTTTCAGGTTTCTTAGTGGTTGCTTGGAACTTCCAAGTAGGAACACCAGAACCTGCATTTTACCAACAAACCTCATGGCAATGATCCTTGCAGGAGATTACTCTCAGTTGATTGGTAATGCATACCTATATGGGATGTCTAACATTTATTGCAATATCATTGATAATAGCTCATGTATTTAAATGGGGTCCGATCTATGTGTCTTAATTAGGAAAGAATGTTTAAAATGTTGCTTGTTGATTTACTATGGTAGGAATCCGGTTATTGACTGGGTTTATTTCATTTGATTTATAAAGGGGGCTTCAATGGACCAGTAGAGGATGTGCCAGTTATGCAAGTCAAACAGGTCATCCAGATATGGAACAAGAGGTTCTTGAGTCCTCCTGAGAGAATTCTACTTCCTGTTTGGTATGTATGATATAAAACTTGAAAACTTATTAATTCATTGTATGAACATGTCAAAGAAGTGTTAAATATTTGAACATGATGTGAAGTTAGACCAGGTTCATGTACATTGCAGAGTTTGTTTTTTAAATTATAGCACATAGAATTTTACTCTCTTTCTGCAGTTTTATCCTTATTTCAAAACTCAAATGTTGAAAAAAGTAAAAAATTTCTAATTGTAGTGAGAATAACCACTGGTTTCTTCTTGAATACCAAAAGGCTGACCAGTAAGTATTTCAATGTAAATAAATGCTTTGACTATTTACTGTACGCCCGGTATTATTCTGAGAAATACCAATTTCGCGGCCATTAAATTTCGCGGATTTCAAAGGTTTACATTCCATTATTCTCTGAATCCTCAAGCTCTGTAAACTAGTTTACCTTATCTACAGTGATTACACCCAATGTCATATTTGGATAAGATTTACAATTTCTAGATCTTAGTCAACGGCATGTTGCACCTCAGCCTTTAATTGACGAAATTCGCGACGATTGATTTTCGCGATTTTAACACAGTCGCGAAAAGCACGAAACTAAATCGCACATGAAAAATACCGGGCGTACAGTATTTATTTTGTGTATAGTATAAAGTATTTTGTCATGTTTATATTCAGGGCCATTGACAATTCATCTGTGCTGGCTACTATATTACAGTAGTTTATTGAGGACCTGTCTACTCCATGTTATCTGAAGTTCAATTTTGTTTATGTGTCGGTTGAAGGTTCATGGCTGATTTTATATTGAAAAATCAAGTTCACAAAAACAATCAAATTTGCTTTTACAGTTCCATTCATGGATATGACTCATTGGGTCAGTCAGCTACTATGAAGAGAAGACGACATAAACATGCCTTTAATGCATTCCAAAGGTAAGAAAACTTTTATTACAAACCCATGACTTAATTGGTGAACTGAATATCCCATAATTGATAAAGTTAAGGGAGATAGAGTATGCCTCTGTCCATTCATTGTATGTTTCCTTGGATGTGTAGACACACATCCAACTACATTTATGCAAATACTACTTATACTACTATCAGGGCTTCTTCAACATGTATTGTAATGACTTCAGTATGAATGAAATGTTCCTTGGTGTTCTGGTCTTGGATTGTGATATTGGTTCTTGAATGGTGGGGGAAAGGGGGTATTGGACATTGTTTATTTTCACCTTAGATCATGGTTTTGGGATATATGGGGTTTGGTTTTCTTGACTGGTATGCACTTAAATAATCAATATTACTGCCACTGTATAATATGTTCAGTGGGATTTGCTTCACTGTTATGTTGATGATCTGTATGGTGGTTCAAAATTTGGAATACAATTTTATGAATTTGACAACAATGTTATTGCAGATTTCTGCAAGCAGTATGTGGACGCATTTTTCCATTTAAGGAAGAGAAAATGCATTATGTTCTGGAGAAGGTTTGAAATTATTTTATTTTTAGTTTCCTTTGTATAAGTATCCTACATAATTGCATCTAGCAACATACCTGCTCTCATACATCCTGTAATGTGGTGACAGTTGGATCATTTGTTAGGTGATTGTTTCATAACAAGGTTACAAGCAGTCAATTTTTACAAGAATTTGATTTCTAAAAAGCCAAAAAGATTTACAGGTTAAGAGTACCTCATAGCACATTTTTGTTTGTCCATAACTATATTTATTTTAAATTGTAGAATGTGCCTTTGCAGCAGAATAGTGTTGACTGTGGCTATTTTGTCGCTGCCTTCATGAGGGACATCTTCATGGTAAAATTGTCAAGTTCTTTATCACTAGTCTTGCATTTTTTTTTTATTGTATTCAATAGAATACAAAAAATGTAAATACACAGACATGTAAATTCTTAAATCGCCACAATGGCATTGGGTCTAGTCTTGCATTAAGACCTTGTGTACCAATTATCACCAACCACTTGCATACAAAGGCCCGTAGCCAGGGGGTTCAGAGGGTTTGGGCGAACCTACCCCCCCCCCCTTTGTACAAGGAAATAAATAGTAGAGCGTGAGGGCTTGATGCAAGACTACCTATACATATTATAACTATGACTGTAAATAATCTTCTCAAAATATACTAGGTGCTATCAAATTCATTTTAATGGGTATTTGATGATTTAAAAATAGTTCAAGCAAAATGAAGTCAATACCCATTGGAAATTAAAAATCTTGATATTCAGTCATGTGTACTTCCAAGATACTCGCAATGTTATTGTACTACATCTAGTATTTATCATATATAAACCAATTTCTAATTGTGAATCTTTCCTGAAACCATGATTACCAATTTTAAATATGTATTTTCAGGGAGTCCCACAGAACATCACACCAGATATTACAGAGTTGAGAGACACTATTCTGTGTGAAATACGGAAGTTTATTTGAAGAAACTAGACATTAAGAGCTCAAACAATCTCAAGGAGACCCACATAGGCATATTTGACAATTTGAAGGTCTTTGAGATGTCAGATGTGAAGCCATGAGAACTTGTAGATGACTTTAAGATATTCAGTTAAAATGTGACCTTAAAAATTTAGAAATTTACATTTTTTAGTTTTTCAGCTCTAATTTCTCAAAATTGGTGCAAAATGCTAATAGACAGCTAATAGATAATATCTCAAATCTTTAGAGGAATGTATAATCTGACTTTCAGCCAAAAATAATAATTTTTAGATGATGAATTTGAAAAATCAACTTGTTTTGCCTTTCGAAGGTCACTGAAGTCAACTTAAGGTCGAATCTGAGGTCAGATATTTAAGAAATTATGAATTTTGTAAAATAAATAAATTTATAACTTAAACATGGTGTCTGTACATCTATTCAATGAACCACAAAACTTTGTTCACTGTTGCTGATGATTTAATAAAAACTGAAAAATAATTTGTACAATTTTTATTAATAATTATGTTGGACTTTAAACCTTTGTACATAGTTATGACATTAACTAACTGTCATGATCAGAATGATTTGAATCATACAGTAACTGACAGTTGTAGCATGGTTAAGCAAACCTTATCATATAAACGTATAATAGAAAGATGAATCTTATTACAAAATATGTCAATCTCTTTTGATTTCCCAAATGATGCAGCAGATTCCAAAAACATCTGTCCTGTGTCCCTTTTAGTTGTTATGTTCAATTCATCTTGGTGTTGAATGTACCTTCTGAGGGAATGTTGAACTATAGATAAGCACACTCATCTATTAAACTTCTGATGGAAAGATATATCTTATTTCATGATACAATGATCTCATTTCATATCCCCAATGCTTTAACATATTACAAAAGCTCTATTGTACCTTTAAATTGTTATGTAATCTTGGTGTTGAATGTACCTTCTGAGGGAATGTTGAACTAAAGGTAAGTACATCTCATCTGTTAAACTTCTGATTGAAAGATATATCTTATTTCATGATACATTGATCTCATTCCATATCCCCGACGCTTTAACATATTACAAAAACATTATTGTCCCTTTAAATTGTTATGTTCGTCTTGGTGTTGAATGTACCTTCTGAGGGAATGTTGCTAAAGGTAAGTACATCTCATCTGTTAAACTTCTGATTGAAAGATATATCTTATTTCATGATACATTGATCTCATTCCATATCCCCAACGCTTTAACATATTACAAAAACATTATTGTCCCTTTAAATTGTTATGTTCGTCTTGGTGTTGAATGTACCTTCTGAGGGAATGTTGAACTAAAGATAAGCACACTCATCTATTAAACTTCTGATCGAAAGATATATCTTATTTCATGATTCAATGATCTCATTTCATATCCCCAACGCTCTGACGCTTTAACGTATTACAAAAACTTTATTGTTCCTTTAAATTGTTATGTTAATCTTGGTGTTGAATGTACCTTCTGAGGGGATGTTGAACTAAAGGTAAGTACATCTCATCTGTTAAACTTCTGATTGAAAGATATATGTTATTTCATGATACAATGATCTCATTTCATATCCCCGACGCTTTAACATATTACAAAAACATTATTGTCCCTTTAGATTGTTATGTTCGTCTTTATGTTGAATGTACCTTCTGAGGGAATGTTGAACTATAGATAAGCACACTCATCTATTAAACTTCTGATGGAAAGATATATCTTATTTCATGATACAATGATCTCATTTCATATCCCCGACGCTTTAACATATTACAAAAACATTATTGTCCCTTTAAATTGTTATGTTCGTCTTGGTGTTGAATGTACCTTCTGAGGGAATGTTGAACTAAAGGTAAGTACATCTCATCTGTTAAACTTCTGATTGAAAGATATATCTTATTTCATGATACATTGATCTCATTCCATATCCCCGACGCTTTAACATATTACAAAAACATTATTGTCCCTTTAAATTGTTATGTTCGTCTTGGTGTTGAATGTACCTTCTGAGGGAATGTTGAACTATAGATAAGCACATCTCATCTAATAATAATCATAGTGTATACGCACAATTTGTAATTTCTGGCTAAAATAGGCGCGCAGTTTGTGCTTTATTTCTTTTAAATCTCCTGATTATCTGTATTATCTCGAAATATTTTGAATTATACATGATAAATGCGTAAGAAATTAAATATAAAACGAGTCTAAAGTATTTGTCATTTATGTTTAAAGTGCTAGATCGATTTACGTATAAATTCCCGTTAAATCAGTGACGAAAATGCCATCAAACTGCTTATGTTTTAAAACTTAGATTTATTTGCACATAGTTTTTGCTAGTATTTGCAAGATTCGTATATTCGCCACAGAATGAACGCATTGAACAAGAAAACAATGCAGGATAAATGTCTTTAAATTACGTTTCAAAATACAGACTCCAACTTCAATGATGCAATGTTGTTAGGCACGCAGTTTGTGATCGAAACAAACTGCGCAGGCGCGCAGCTTGACATGGGCACCGTGAGTTGGAAAGTATATAACAACGTCACCAACCTATTACCCATAATATACGCATAATTTTATGAAATAATAATTTTTTATATACTAATAAGTATACCTAATTTTGGATGTACCAATCTTGGGGAAATGAGAAGTTACTATTAAATAAGCAATTGTGATTTTTAATTAGTTTTATGTACAGTAAAACCTGTGTATAGTGAACATTTTTTGCCAGGAAAATATGTTCACCGTTGGTAGGTGTTCACTTCAACAAGGATTTGATTTCCCGGCATTTGCCGTATTATAAATAGAGACCAGTGTTATTAAATAAGAGAAGGGAATAATCAATTTAATTTTGAATTATTGGTCATTTAAAATCCCTTCAGCTTCTATATTCAGTTAATACAAGATATAAAATAATATACTGTACAACTATGCTATTATAAAATGATATATTACTCAAACATACTTAAATGTATAAGGCATAAGCAGAAAATTCGAGAGATTCTGATTCAATGTTCACTAGAGACATGATAATTCAACAACTTACCAAGATTAAGTGATCACTGTTCAAAGTTGGTAGGTGTTCACTATAGGATTATACTTTAACATGGGAGTCAATGGGAGAAAAAGATTTTGCCGAATAAAAACGTTCAGTGTTGATAGGTGTTCACTAGAGAGATTTGTTCACCAACTCAGGGTTTACTGTATATATATATATATAACACGGTTTTACTTGCACGCTCCCAAGATGTAGAACACTTTATATGCAAACGAACCATCTTGCAATCGTCCTTACTTACGTTACACATCAAAACCTGTTTTTAATGAAGACGGAAATATAAAGTATATGTGAGAAACGAATATCGTGATCCTCTGGTATGGCAATTCTATAGAATACATTGTATAATAATTTCTAATTTGCAATTTTACTTGTATCGCACTTCGGGCTGTTATTCTGGCTTTACGTAATACAAACATGTTGCTTGCTCAAATATTGTACTGTCATTTTCAACTTGTGAAGCGCACATGACATTTGTTTGCAATGAAATAATTAAAACAGTCATGAATTTCATTTGTTAAATGTACTGCCTGTCATTCTGGCTTTGAGAGAATAAGATAGAACTATAAACTCGTTGTTGAATTGGTCCCTTTCAAGGCACATTCAACTAATGCATATTAGAGTAGGAAGATGGATGGTCAAAGGGATATTTTGCTACGATTTGATTTCCCTTCAATAGGTATTGAATATAAGAACACTATCTCAATGAATAAAGAGAATAAGATAGAATTATAAACTCGTTGTTGAATTGGTCCCTCTCAAGGCACATTCAACTAATGCATATTAGAGTAGGAAGATGGATGGTCAAAGGGGTATTTTGCTAAGATTTGATTTCCCTTCAATAGGTATTGAATATAAGAACACTATCTCAATGAATAAAGAGAATAAGATAGAACTATGAACTCGTTGTTGAATTGGTCCCTCTCAAGGCACATTCAACTAATGCATATTAGAGTAGGAAGATGGATGGTCAAAGGGATATTTTGCTACGATTTGATTTCCCTTCAATTGGTATTGATAAGAACACTATCTCAATGAATAAAGAGAATAAGATAGAACTATAAACTCGTTGTTGAATTGGTCCCTCTCAAGGCACATTCAACTAATGCATATTAGAGTAGGGAGATGGATGGTCAAAGGGGTATTTTGCTACGATTTGATTTCTCTTCAATAGGTATTGAATATAAGAACACTATCTCAATGAATAAAGAGAATAAGATAGAACTATAAACTCGTTGTTGAATTGGTCCCTCTCAAGGCACATTCAACTAATGCATATTAGAGTAGGAAGATGGATGGTCAAAGAGATATTTTGCTACGATTTGATTTCCCTTCAGTTGGTATTGAATATAAGAACAATGAATAAAGAGATATACAAAAATCTTAAATTGATTCTTAATATTTATTAATTCTTATACTGTACATGTCGGTCTCTCCAACATATGGGCCATGTGTGTTTTGTGTACAAATATACACAATCACCCATTATATAGTATAATATAAAAGTATAAAAATAATTATATTGAGATGGTTTTTACATAATAATGATACAAATGTACAATGTTCATATTTATCAAGAAAATGAAGCCAAAAATGGCTACAAATTATACATACTATTGTACAAACTAGATTTATGTTAAACTTTAAAGAATAGCTACATATCATACATACAGTAGTTTGGCATCAACTAGATAAATATTTCAAGTTTGCTTGTCATGAATTCCTTAAAAATGCAGATGTTATGTTACTGATAAGGATATCTGCAGCAAGTGTTTTAGATCTCTTCTTGGTATTTGACTGTGTAATATGTACTCTCGGTAAAATTGGTTAATTTTATAATTACATTTCTTTTACCAAGTTAGTTTCTTGGTCTAACATAATAATTGATTACAAAACAGATGTGATTTTCTATTAAATACATTTACATACATATCACTGACTTGAAATGCAGTACAAAATTAATGAATATTCTATAAGATATTTCATCATGTACATCTCATCACAAAATCATTTTGAGCCTTTTTCAATTTTGACAACAATTTCAATAATTTGCAATTGTGAGACATTTTGTATTTGTACAAGAACTGTTTAGCTGCACATTATTGGCTAATACACATGGTAACGGTTTCATAAAATCATCATCATATCACTGCTATATAGCCTATTGGGTAAGTTTGTTTCATGCAGTACAAGCAATGCTACAGTTTTCAAAACAGTTAGGTTTGCCCTATAGAAAGTGTTGAGCAATACAAATACCTGGATGTGTATTCGGTAAAACAAAGAATTTCCTGATACTGCTGGTGTTGGAGTTCAGTTTTGTAGTTTGTAGTGACTGATTTGTCATAGTAATGACATCAGAGAGTCAATAAAAGATATATA